TCAGTATATAGAGACAATAAAAGTAAATATTCAAAAAACAAATTGGTGAAACAATAACACAATATATATTTACCTTTTTCGTATTTTAAGGTGAAAAAGAAACAGTATCGTGTATAAGACATGTGATTGCTAAAATGGTGAATGCATTGAAAGCTATATCCATCCACTATATAATACGACACAATTATTGAGTATGAAATAAATGAGACAATAAGACAGTATGCATTTATCTTCCTCTTATTTTAGAGTAAAAAAGTAAATGCTCTAGAGTTAATGAAGAGTGCGATCGTTGAAAGCATAGACGTACTCAAAAATACATCGATTCACTTGATAATATGACTGGAGCCTTGTATTTATGTTTGAGGAAAAAGTAAAATAACGCCCGTTTATCCCGCTTCATACTTAGAGGTAAGATAATAATATTCAAAGTAATCAAAAAGCTTTTCTCCTATAAATGTTTATGAAATTGAGTTTATATCCCGATGCTTCAGAATATTATGAAATTCTTGTATCCATTGTGAAAAAGAAAATGAGAGATAATTATTTATTATTTATTTTAAGTCGGAAAGTAAATGGAAACATTTCACCCATTAAATGTCAAATATCTGATACACATTTATTTGGTTTATTAAAATTAATGAAAACAATTCTATATCCACAAAAATTTGATCAAAAACAACAAAAACAAAATCAAGTTTGTTCTTTTTTTTAATTTAATTTAGCTTATTCTATATTATTTTTCAAAACTAATAGAAATCAACATCAAAAAAACAATATGAAACAATTGAAAAAATGATATCTGTTCAAAAAGAAAAGCAAAATATGGAAAAACAAATTGATATTAAAACTGATCTTGACAATAAATAACACAACTTAAATTCAATTTTATATTAAATTATTTATTTGAGATTGGTATTTTACAGTTACTAGATAACGCAATGTTACCATTATTCAATAATTAATTATTTTGACGTTATGACTTACTACACTAATGTAACAACAGTTTTATATCCTCTTAAGTTTTGCTATCACTAAAATTCGTGAGAAAAATAGGACAGTTCAATCTTTCGATCTCAATTTCAGCTAAACTTAGATGTATTTTATCAAAACTTGCTAACTAAATATTATTTTTATTTTCAGAAAATAATAATTTTTTCATTATTTCTACGATCATTGCAGTTCTACTACTTTTATAAAAATTTATCATAGAGAATACATTGGTATAGATCCACCTCATTTTCATAATCTGTCATAAGATGTTTATTAAGTTCACTCGATATTTTGGTTTTAGTCGATTACGTAAGAAAAATTATGTGCGTGCAATTACTTTAACAAGTCTCTTCATCTTATCTCACTATTATCGAGGTATTTTTTTCAAAAATCAAAATGCAGATTCACAACTGCAACTGACTAAGATCACAGAGACGAGTCGGCATTTATCAGTATATATGGTTAATCAATGTTTACCAGAAGTGTTCGATGAAAGTCCTGATTATTCATATTTATCGTCATGTAAAAGAGAACATCATTTTGGTCACATATCAGAACGCATATATGACTTAGTCAATTTGGTGACTATGGTATTGGAATCTCGCTCTCTAATGTATTGTGCTGTCCCGAAAGTAGCAACAAAAACTCTTCTTAATGCTATGCTTTATATGCATGTGCAAGATATAATTGATAATCTCGATCGTAATGGGACATATATTGGGGCTGACAGAGCTGAATGGGAAAAAGATACGAATATTACTTTATTCACTAATGAACTTCGACAAGTATGACAAAGGAAATTGTGATGTTTTATCTATATTTTTGATTTTAGAAAGGAATTGTAATTCCAAAAACAGAAGAACCAAAATCTCTTGCAGCATTTCTTCGTATGTATCTTAAAGTTCTTCGATTCGGCAATATCAACGGAACATATTATTCTCGATCTCTTAATCCTTGGAGGCTCTCTTTTATGTTTTCATTTCCATACTTTCGTCTGCGTAGTCTTCCTAATTTCTCTGATATATTCTCACCATCTTATACTCGAGCCATATTTGTTCGTCATCCATTTGAACGTCTTGCATCAGCTTACAAAGAGAGAATTGCAACACTCAAACAAGATAGAATTGAACCTGAACCTGTATATGATAAAATACGCGAGGAAATCTGTCGAAGTCTACCACCAAAACAAAGATCATGCAAAGGGACTATTCCTTCATTTGAAGATTTTATTGAGTATATTCTTATAGATACTAACACATCAACTGGAATTGCTAAAATGGACTATCATTGGCAACCTTATTCATTGATTTGTCAAGTCTGTAAATTTAAATATAATTTTATTGGTAAATATGAAATGTTGAATGATGATTTTAATTCTTTTCGCAAAATTGCTAATTTATCTGATTGGAACCTTGAGAAGCGAAATGGTGCATCAGGTCTGAGTACATATGATTATCAAAAGTTTTATTCAACATTGCCCGATGATCTAATTTGTCAACTCATACGTCTCTATGATCAAGATTTTCGTCTATTCAACTATCGAGTAGATGATTATATTAATCGACCTACATTATTAGAAAATTGTAACCAGTTGAAAACACTCTAATAGACTTTGATCAATTAACTATAGTTTCGCATATTGATCTAATCCGGTTAATTTTCATAATGGTTATTGGTGAATTTTGAAAAACTTTATTTATTTGAATTTTTTTTTGTATATGTATATGATCAGCAATGATCTGCTTTTATTTTGCAAAGAACTTTGATACTATTTGTGGTTTTATGTTGAAATAAAAAGAAATATTTTATTTAAAATTATCATTTCACTTTAAATACTGTGATCATCATATTCTCAACAATGAGTGATTCGGGAAAGAGACATTTCGCATCAACTTTTCGTGTGGGTGGACGGGGTATGAGTAGTATATTTATTATATCCACATTGACACGGACACCCACCCTCAAAAAAGATTCACGAAGACTAAAACATGGTGATTCTAGGGCCCGTTTTTTGATAAAATCGACTTTTCAGCCTATTCTGCCTGAGTTAGTGCATGATGGAAAGCAAAACTAAATATATATTCTCATATAACTCGGCGAGGACTACAAGATTAACATACTTAAATCGTGCTAGAAAGATGTTATATTAAAAGTAGGAGGAGCTGTGTGGAAACGCCCATAATTGTTTGTAAAATTATGAATATTTCATTTTTATTCAAACTAGACATTGAGATAGATAAGAAAAAAAATAACTAATAGAAATATAATATTCACTCACAAATGTGATGTTTAATTGTCGTTTATTATTATTAGTATCACATTAAATTTTTTAATATTGATCATTCATTGTCTACTTACATATATACTACAATCATGATAGGAATAAGATGGGGCGCTGCAGTTTTCAGTGATGGAATCTAGAAAGATTTTTCTAACTGTTATTATAAAGCTTTTAGAAAAATAGCGTATCAACTTATTGATTGTCGCAAGTGTTCGAGTATCGATAGAGAAACAGGCACAAAACTATGAAAAGATCTACTAACAGGATCTTTCAGACGTCAAGCTACCGTTAAATATCCCATTTTACTTATGAAAAATCGAGTTTTTTAAGATATGCGGGACAGCTATTTTTGGAAAGTAGTTATAAATGCCTCATGTGTCTTCATCGGTGAAAAGCGCACATTTCTTCATCTTATTCCTATCGAAAGTTATTCACAAAATACTCATCCACATTTTATTTTGACATAAACAGTAGTCATTAACAATATATAAAATTTTTGAGATTGTAAACTATTTTACTCGACAATTATCAGCATATCTTTGTGTATTCAGTTGTCATAGTTAATATTTATCCAATGAACTATTTATATATAAAAAAATGAATAAAGATAAAACAATACTTTAAACGTCGTCAACTACCAATTAAACGTTAACTAGAATTATTCACATTATTTTAATCATTTGTGTTTAAAGTTCAATGACAAAATTATCAATTGTGTGATAGAAAAAAAACAATTAAACACGAAAATGATAACAAATATTTTCACGTGTTGTTATCATAAGAAAGAAAAGAAACGAGAGATATATAACTAATTTCTTTTCTCTTTTTATTCAAATGACAATTAAGAAAATAAATTCTCCATCTACAATGATAAAATATTTTCGAATATTATATCAAACTTATTATTTTAAACGATCTTATTCTACATTTGAACATTCAATACCAATTATAGATTTAATTCAATCTTATTAAAATTTAACAAAACGTAAAGAATTAGCAAAAGAAATGAATAAAATATGTCAAACAATTGATTTTTTTTATTGTAAGTGGTCATTAAATTGATAAACAAATTCAAAATAATATGATGAAAATATCCATATGGTTATAATGATTTAAATGATAAGAATCTATCACTTAGATATGAAAATTCGTCAACAGTTTTATTATTGGATGTAAAAGAAAGTTTTTCTATTGGACCTCAACATAAACAAAAAATACGTTGGTCATCAAAAACTTTAAATATATCTTCTATTTGGTTAAATTATTATTCACAATGCCAACATTTATCTGAACATTTATATAAATTATTTGCATTAGCATTAGATTCAGATGAACATTGGTTTAATAATAAAATAAATCAACATCGTTGTGCATTACGTTCATTATATTATCCATCATTACCACAAAATCAATATCGATCAAGTACACCTACAGATTATGGATCATTTACAATATTAAAACAAGATTCTATTCAAGGTTTTTAAGCACAAAATCATTTTAATGGAAAATGGATTGATGTACCTTTTATTGAAAATAGTTTTGTTATTAATTTAGGTGATTTAATGTCTTAATGGACAAATGATCATTGGATATCAACACCACATCGTGTTATTGCATCATTAAATCAAAATTCATCTCGACAAAGTATTGCATATTTCTGTCAAATAAATCCTGATGAAATAGTGAGATGTATACCAACATGTTCTTCTAAAGATAAACCATCAAAATATCCACCTATTCGATCATGGGATTTAATTATGCAAAAATATTTAGCATCAACACAAAAAATAAATAATAATATTAACTTTCTCTTCTTTCTATAGAATAAATTTTCATGTATGGATAATCTAGTTTCTCGATTAGATTGAGATAAAAATGAATTTAGGAATTTAACATATTTTTCGAATTGTTTTACAAAGGACTGCCTATTGCAAAATAAAAGGCGGGTTGGTATTTTTTGGTAGGAATAATAGGGAAATCTGCGATTTTCATGATTCAACAGAGATATACTCTTATTATGAACGCTTTATGTAATAGTCGTAGAGAAATCTTTTCAGTCTAAGTTTCGACGCGTCGTCATCGGTGAAAATCGCATTTCTCCATCTTGTTCCTATCAACATTTATCCAAAACATAATCATTCGTCTGTTATTTTAAAATAACTCATAGACCTATATGCCTGATCTAAAACATGTTTTTAAATCGTTTCCATGCTACGCAATAATAATAAAACGAACTCGAAGAAAAAAAAGGAGAATGTAAATATGCTATTGACTACTAAAAAAAGAAATTATTTACTGTAAATGTACCATACTGACAAGTAATAAACAATCATTTGAGTTAATTGTTCTTGAGTCTGATGAAGTACATTCTTAGGCATACTTTTAGTTGCACAAGATTAAACTTGTACAATCTTAAATGAAATATCATGACAAATCAAAAACATAAAAAAACTAATTAAAATATATCGAAGAATTTGTATTTGCTTTTTCTTTGTAAAATAACTGATAATGAAGAACAAAAACAACTGAAAGAATTAAAAACGACAATCTCAAGAAATAAATAGTAAAAAGTAGTAGTTATGTTTGTTAAAATAATATTCATTTATGAACTATCTTCGATATAGTCATGGATATGAAAACAAAAAAATGTTTCTTTCTAATAATACAATTAGTGTGCATGAATTAAGAAAAAAATATAATATAAATGTGTTCGTGATATAATATTCCAAGATCGAGTTTCAATATTGATATACAAAGGAAAATAATAATTAGAACATTTGTTGATTTTTAATATGATCAAAAATTTATCGATGTATTTTTTTTAATAATTGATTCATGTTCTTTTAACCATTCGGCATTATAAAGCACGCCCTATAGGTCATAAAAACAGTACTATTTATCTATTCAAATGAGTTTTTGAACGATCTACAGCCATTAACAAAATAAACTGCAAATGACATATGTAATATAAAAAAAAATGAGAGAAACAAAAATGTTGATTATTTATGTCATCTGAGCTAGAAAACAGGTAATATTCGAAAAATTCAGTAATTGGTTCGTGTAATTCGATAATCACAATCAACATGTAGAGTATCATCCAATAAGGAGGCAAATCGAAAACAAAAATATGGGGATGAGAGTGCTGGATTTTCATCCTCGATTGATTCATATCTATAAGATTTAATATTTGAAATAAAAAAATCTTTTTTCTATAATATTTTATCTATGATTTGATTTTTATTTATTTGAGTAACTTAATATAAGAATGAAAAAAAAGAATATCTGTATATATAACAAATAGAATATTATTTTATCACTTTATTTTTCAAATTTCTTGCTTAACATGATATTTACAAATCATATAGAAAATGAAAATGTTTTAATAAATATCTATAGAATAAACTCATAAAATTTTATAAATAAATCATTAAAACTAAAATAAATATTATCGTCAATTAAAATATGAGTCTCCTTAACAAAAGCCATCATATGATAGAATTATTATATGAGTAAAATTGACTTAAACAATAGTTTTTCTTTTTAAAATTTATCAAAAACAGTTGTACTATAAAAACAAAATTTATTTTTCGAATAAAAAATGTTTGAGTATTTCGGTATCGTCAAAAAAAATTCTACAATTCTTTTTATCTGTTAGATACGATGAAGAATATGTTATTCATTTTTACATTCGAATATAAATATCACAAAAATAAAACAAAAAAAATTTGTTACTTATTATCACACTTTGATATCGAAATAATAGAATATTTAAATTATATTATTCTTTTCTTTTCTTTTCGTTAGAAATTATCAATATAAATATGAATAAAACATTCGATTTCAATATGAGAATAGAACATTAGATTTGTTTTCATATTTTATTAATCACGATAAATAAATAAATAAAGAAAGCGAGATTACATATTTTAGTTAAAAAAATTGCAAGATTAACATGTTTAAAAATGAAGAGAAACTATGTAAAAAGTAGAAAATGTTTTTGTTTGTTGTTGGTTGATATAGATGAAAGTGATTGTGTTTAACGGGTACCAAGAGAAGAACATGAAACACTAATCAAGGTGCCATTACCACTTTGATTTCCCTAAGAAACAAAATTGAAATTATAAAAAGAAAGAGAACTGATTTCGATAACATACTTGACAACAACTTTGACTTGTACTACATCCTGTAGTTTGATCACCAGAAGTACCATTATTTGCAACTTGACTGCATGCATATTCTAATAATATAAATAATTGATATTATTTATTTTTCATGAGAATAAAAAAATAAAACATACGTTTATTACTATCACTGGGATGGTAGACGTAAAAACCTTGATTGGATCCACCAGTATGTCTTTTTCCGCGACCACTAGTTCCTAAAATAATAGTAGAATTTTTATAAAATAAATTCGATCTGTCAACATGAATAAATGGTTAAACTTACTTGATTCAGCTTGATTATTACAACAGACACTTCCGGCACTATTACAATTATTTGATGTTTTGGTGATGCTAGTTTGTTTATTACTATAAGTATTATCTACTGGAACATATTGATACGGTCGTCCACCATATCCATTACCACTGCGTCTTTCTCTAAATACTGATGCATTACTTGCAATGACAATCACAGCAATAATCATAAGACATAAACATTTCGACATTTCCATCTTGAATATTAACGATTGTTTTATTTGATTGTTGAATAAGGAATAATAAATAGTAAATTGAGATAATTTTTGCTCAGATTATCAAAGGGCTTATATATCATAGAAATGATCATTGAGGTGGGACAAAATATATTTTTTTCTTTGTTTAATATTCATACGTCAATCTTTGGATTTATTTTAAGAAATATTTACAAAAGATGTGATGATCATATCTGGATTTAGTCAAATATTATTGACTTTTGTCAATAATACAAAAGAAAATAATGTTTAACATGAGAATGGTTTAGGGAGTAAAGTAGAGTGATGACGTTATTTTTCTTTTTTCTTCTTATTCTTGTCTGTCTAATGAATACAAAAGGTAGATTTTATAAAAAGAAACAACGAAAAAAATCATGATTAAGAGAAAAGTTGCACTTGATAATATGAAAAAAAATACTCGATGTATCTGTTTGAAAATGAAGGATTTTTTTGTCTGAACACGAAATTTTGAAAAAAGAAAAAAATTGTTCATTTTTATTTTTATTTCAAATAATTTTATTTGTACAAATTATTAATATATTTCTTTTTTTCGAAAAAGGATAATAATCATATCGGAAAATAAAAATAGTTTTTATTGTATTTTTCGTTTAAAAGATAAATTTCAATGATTTATACATAAAATATAAATTATGATTTTTTTCTCAAAACGAATCTCACATTTCATTAATGACAATTATATTAGTTGTGTGATGTTAGATCTTATTAGAAAAAAAAGCAAAGAATATCAAGTGATATCTTAAAGTCGATCATTATCGAATATTAATATAATGTAGGAAGCTAAAAGACAGTTCTTATCTATATTATGATGAATATATTTTATTCAATAAAACATAAAATATAGAGAAAAACAGTTATTTATGTATGATTAGATTCTCTAATTATAAGAAAATAAGAAAATGCTTAGAAAGAGTAAATTTCTATGAAAAATACTAAGATTTTGAGAGAAACTTTTCTTTTAGATAATCATCAAACTAAAATTTCGTATTTTAAAATATTCTTAAATTAATTTATTGAAAATAAATATTGAAAATTAAAAATAAAATCAATATGATTATACGTAGTTTTGTAATCGAAAAATATTTCGTCATAAACATTAATATTTTAATGAACATATCTTTTGAAATATTCCTAAACTGATATCTCACATACGAATATCCAATCAATAAGGTCATATTTATTTATTTTGATAAAACTTCCTTTAGTGCTGTTTCTTCTAATATCATGAGATATAAAAGTACAATAGAAATATTCGTTTTCGTTTTTCTGTTGTAATTGTAAATTTGTAACGATATCTTTCATTTTCTACTTTATTTTATGTATTCATTATGTCACAAAGATGATTTGAATTTCATCATATACACTATGAATACTTTCTCTATGGTTTAAAATTCGTTTTTCATACAAAAACAAAATATTTTTATTTTGTAAATTTATAATTATTTGGAATAAATATTCATTTTTCTCATATTATCAAGTGCACGTTTTGTCTCAATCATAATTTTTATCGTCGTTTTCTTTTCGTTTCTTTTTATAAAACATACCTTTTGTATTCATTAGATAGACACAAACAAACAAAAAATAAGGTAGTCATCAGTCTACTCCCTAAACCATTTTGATGTTAAACATTATTTTCTTTTGTATTATTGACAACACTCAATAATATTTTTGACTAAAACCAGATATTTTGTAAATATTTCTTAAAATAAATCCAAAGATTGACGCAATGAATATTAAACAAAAAGCAGAGTATATTTTGTTCCACACCAGTGATTATTTACATCATACATGAACCCTTGAAAATCTCAAAAATATTTCTTTTAGCTAAGGTTCATTATTATGAAATATGGAAATGTCGATGAACTAGATGCGCACTTTCAGTATAGGAGAAAAGACAAGGTTATACCCCTCTTGTTTCACATTTGCTTATGATGAGATAAAAAATAGAAAGATATATATTTATTACTATAGATCGTAATTTCACTTGAATAAAATTATTTTGTTTCGATTTAGTTTTTTCATTGTAATTATTTAAAATAAAAATAAATAAAATTGATTGTTTTCATCTATTTGATGAGATAATATAAAGATTAATAGTCAAGTAGAAATTGATTTCTTTGATATTTTTCTTGGTAATACTATTTAAGAAAAGAGGTGGACGATTGAGAAACTATTTTGTAACTATATCGATGTATTAATAAAAAATTGACAGAAGAATGATCTGAAAGTTAGTGAAAATAATAGTAATATAACAGCTCAAGATTGACTAATTATTGTCTTAATATTCGATGAAAAGTAACGAATATGTATATTAGTTTCTTGTGTATAACAAGTCAAGGACGATGAGTCATATAGAATGAAGAACAGATAGGTAGAGCAATGTGTATATCGATTTACAGGACCAGTCGATATATATATATTGTTATGACTCAAATTCGAATTCATCCGGACAAAATGAAGAACACAACAAATTTTAGTTGCACATTTACTATAACATTGAGATGTGTATCCAGCTGTGAAACAACGAAAATGATTAAAAAAGAAGCGCATGTTCAAATATCTATTAAGAATTTTTATAAAATAAAATAGTTGTTGATACTTTACCTTTTTTATATTTATTAAAAAATTATTTAAATTTCGTGTAAACGAACTCTAGTTTGAGTCGAATATAACAATATAGAAAAATCCAGTGCATATAAGTAACAGCAAAGGAAAAATGCCAAGGACAACTGTTACTACATTATACTAATATTTTCAGATTCATACTAGATATTTACTTCAATCATTTACATAACAATAAAGATTGTTAGTCAACTAAAATGTTCCAGAAATATTCTGTAGATCTCCACAAACTGTCTGAAACCATATTTCCCAAGTATCACTACTTCGATCGCGTATTGATACATTTTTAGAATAAAAGTGAGCTTCAACAAAATGAGGAAATGTTTCATTAGCAATATGCATCCCTGATAACGAGTACCAAATATAGATGATTTGTGTTGAAGTTTCAATATATGTCATATTAATTAATTGATTCGAAAAACTTTGATGTTGTTGAGCATAAGTCTCATTATATGTACGTTGAACAAATTGAATGATCGTCAAGTTCGAAAGTGATTGAGAAAAATTCAAATCGATTCCACGATAATCTGATAAGTTAGCATAATCAGAAACTTTAATCGTATATGATATTGGTTCCGGTATGCATTTTTCTAAATAAATATACAGAATCTGTATAATACGTAGAAAACCTTTAGTGATTTATCACATTAATTGAATACTTTATCTTATTTCGAAAATTTAGTGAAGAAAAAAATCAAAACAGAATTCATTTCTAAGAAAATCTATTTGGATAGATTCTTATTTTAATATAGAATATTATATAAACTTACTCGATGATATAATCAAAACTAGAGGTAGCACAATAACTAGCAGTAGAACGATCGCAATGATGATGACGATCAAGTAAGCAAAATATTGTTTAAAGAGATTAGTTATTGTTATTAATTCTTGTGAAAATTTCTTATTTATATTTGATGAATGGAGATAATTATGTATATATGATATCTATTCTTAACTCCAGTTAATAGTATTGTCAATTACTTCATCTAAACTGATATATCTTGTATTTTATACTGAATTAACGATCTGTTCTTCTCAAAAGTTCTACAACTTCATGTAACTGCTAATTATGATTTGGTGAATATTTTCAACAAAAAAAATCAAATTTAGAAAACTTGTTTATTATTTAAGTAGTCGATGTTCATTATTCAAAAGTGTGATCTATTACTATCCTAGTAGACCTATTATACCACATCTCAAACAGAATAAATGGCTTTTATTGTATATCCCTGAATTTAAACTTTAAGTCCTATAATATTCCAATAGACTAAAGCTCGACAACATAATTCAGAAGTAAGAGAAAGAAAAATTACGTGACGTAGCGACATTATTCATAGATTTATTACATAACAGAGAGGTAGGAAAGAATAGATTCAAATGGCGACATGTATTTTTATTTCTATTTTAATTGGTTCCGTAGTTTATCTAATAATTCCATTCGATATAAATATCTCTAATATATTTCTATACTTATTTTAATAAATTTCTAAATTGATGAATATAAATCAAGTCAAAATTTGTAGATAAATATTGATTTATTTGAAATGCAAGACAATGAACATTCACATAATGAAAAATCATCTAATCATTATCCTTTAGAATATTTAGATCAATTTCTACAATTAATATGTGCACCAGATTTAATAACTATGGGTTTATTTCCAAATGCAAAAGAAATTACTGAATCATTTGCAGTATGGACAGCATGAAGAAGATATATTCTTCCAAAATTATCATTATCATCATCAACAACATGTACAACAGATAATCGTCACAATGCCATAATTGTTCTCGGTGATGGTATGACACTCGTACAGCTGCATTATGTGCATATTTAACAAAAGGTCAATAGCAATGTTATAGTATTGATCCATTACTTCAATATGATACATATGCTGATATCACATTTAGTAATCGACGAAGTTTAACAACAATTGATCAATGTAAAGAATGGAAAAATATTAAAGGTTTACGAATGACACGTGCTAAAATTCAAACTGTATCTATACAATGTCGAAAAGCAATTATTGTTATGATGCATGCTCATGTTACTATTGAAGATGCTATAAATGCTGTTGATGCATCAGAAGGTATTTATGGTGTTGTTACATGTCCATGTTGTAAATGGGCACCTTATCAAGAAGAATGTTTTCAACAAACACCACATGAACAATATATAGACAAAAGATTATTAAGTGCTAAAAATCAAATAAATGTATGGTGTTTTCCACAAGGTTATCATTATAAATCATCAATTGATACTAAACAAATATCAAATGAGCATAATGTATGGGGTGTTGATGCAAATATGATTGAACATATATTATCTACTCGAGATGGAGTGAAACAATGAGCTATTGATTTATGACCACAGATATTTTATAATGGTATTAAAGTATTTAATCCTACAGATATAAATTCATCATCAGGTAAAAAGAAAATATTTTTGAATAAAATTAAAATATTTTTTTTTAATTATTCTAGATGATGTTAATACATGGCCATGGGGATTAACAACATGGTCATCTAAAGATATTTTAACACTGGTAAAATCATGTAATGATAAGTCAGATATATCATCATCTACTGATGTATCAATATTATTTTCATGGTTTAAAAAACCAGTGTTAATTATTGGAACAATTGGAGCAATACGACGATGTAAACATACAGTTTTTTATGAATTAAATACATGTTCTATACCAACAACAGAAGAACTTGAAGATATTTTACGAATAACTTCTTATAGATCATCGATAAAACATACTTCGGAAGAAAAACAATTTTCTACATTAGATGGTACATTTCCTACATTATTAAAATCTGCTGATCGTATATGGACATGTGTTGAATATCAACGACATTGTCAAGCTATTTCTGCTTTTGACTGTAAAGTAGATTGCAAAATTATAAAACAACATTTACCAACAGAAAATATTAATACAACGGTAGAATCATTGAAGAATAATCGTGTTAATATTTTACTTGCTTTATTATCTTATAAACAAATAACTTATCGAGCTGCACAATTGAATGATCATAAAAAAATGAAAATACTTGAACAAAATCCTCAACCAAG